GGGGGTGGCGTGAAACCCTCTGCTCTCCGGGTGCTGGGCAAATCCAGGAGCGCTCCAGTCCAAGTTTCACTGGGTACCACATCGAATACAGCGGAAGGCAGCCATTTCAAATGCAATTGCAGAATAGTCCAAAACCGAAACGGCATATTTTCACACATACCCCAGCACCACCAGTACACGCATTGCTGACGTATGGCGTTCAGCGTTGTCTGCACACATGTGTACACCGCGGCGTACAGGTGGACGCAGAAGGGGACGATACGTGCGCCTATGTGTTCACGTGATTGGATGGTTAGGCGGAGATGTGGCTTGCCGTAGCAAAAAGGTAGCGCTCAGAAACTGCGTGGCAGTGACTGCATGAGCTGTGTGTGTGCGTGTTGCGGGACTTTGCGTGGTGGCTGCGTGGAAGCGTTACGAGTCCGTTAGCTGGTCATTTGCATACGTGTGAGTGTATGTGTGTATATATAAGGAAGAAAGAAGTAGGCATGTGGTGCATGCACGCACTCTGCTTGCATCCGTCACGCAACGAATGCGCCATTGGCATTGTCCAGAAGTGCACTTCTGCTGACCGGACGGGCGCGCCCGGTCGGTCATTCAACTTCTCTATTTTCTAAATATGGCATTTTTCGGCACATCACTTCCAAGGCTCGTATTTGCAGGGTCGTGCATCCTTCTGCTTCCTCGCTGCACCTCGTGTCAGTGCTACTGCTGCCATTTGTACTGTTTTACTTAGCTCTTTTTTGCGTCCGCGCCTGCTCCGGTGGTACGGTGCGCACCCCCAATTCAGTTGCATTCCGCGCTGCTTATTTCGGTCCCTCACATAAGACTACTTCCCGCCACCCAATCAAGTCAAAAACGGAGGATACGGGAGAGCCTGAGCGCAAGCCAGCAAGGAGGACCTGGAGTCGGGCAAGCAGCAGCGATAAGGAGCAAAAAAAAAGGCGGTGCCTGCTGTTTGTGGTCCCTGCAGTGGACTGCTGCTAACGGTGGCGGCGGTGGCTTAAATCGAATTATCCATGCAAATATCGAGGTAAATGAACGTCGGGGAGGGGGGTAGGGCGGGTGCTTGGCTCCTCCCTCCGTTGTGGCCCGCTTGTCCTGGGAAACGAAGGGCACGCGGGCGATCGGAGTGAGTGACTCGCTCGTCTCCGTGTGTGCTGTGCTCTGCTGCTGCTGCTGCTGCTTTTGTTGCTGCTGCTGCTGCTGGCTGCATTTTGCTACTTCAGGCAAACCAGAGTGAACGAAGAAGATGTCCGGTGGCGGAGGCTCCTCGGCCAACCGCTTCCGGGTTTCGTCAGTCAGTCAATCCACGAGCAGCAACGAGCAGCGACAGTTTCGTCTGGATGTGCAGCAGCCGCCGGGTGCTCCTCAAACTGGCGTTGCCTTCAGTGCTGCAGGTAATCATCAGCATCATGCTTCCCCATTGTTTTCGGGATTGTTTTGGATGTAGTTATCTCGCTGCAGCTTCATCGACCTAGAACGGCGCTTTCCAGCAGCAGCGGCATCCTTCTCCCCGCTGCGAAATCTTTTTGAAGTGATGGATAATTACCACCCAGCAAACAGGGCACAGCCACTGGCCCAGCAAAGAGAAATTTTCGGATGTGCATTTTCGGACCCAATACTACGTTTAGTCCAGGTGCTCAAAGTGCTAGGGTCAGCTAAAAAAGTGAGATGGATCAAACGCAGTAATCCGTGTACCAGAGCGCCGCTGAGAAGTGCGGCACACACGTTTCTCGGCCCAACTCAGTATTCTGCGTTGGCGCGTACTTCTGAACCAACTGACCAATGTAATTTTATGATGCTTTTTTGCTGATTAAACAGCGCACCAGTAGAGAGGTTAACTGGCTTGTAGCCTTTCTTTTTTTTTGTGGCCAATATAGCCTCTGTGCCTAGTAAAGTTTACGATCTTACACTTTTCCATGCCTCTATAGCTCTACGTTTTTTAGTGGGAAACATGGGCTGAAAATGTTGAGTGGCAGCTGAGATTTTCCTGCCATTAGTTCGCTTATTTGTGGCTTTCCACAGCCGGACAAGGATGCATTCGCTTAATAAATAAATGCGTAATGAGGAAAAGCTGTAAAATGAATTAACATATCGCAGCAGTCGGCCCTCATTCTCCATTTCTTCTTCCCGTTCTCATTTTATTTGTAAAAAGTAATTTTAATGTGTTACCAGAGCATGAGAATTGTTTTTGGCAATGGGATGAATTGCACTGCTGAACAAAATGCCCAGCTTGCTCTCTGCCGCTAATTAACTTGTTAGATTTTTGCCTGCTCATTCACTTTTATTGCTGCACCGAGTGCTCATCCTTGGGCACACGGTAGTGCAGGACGCCAAATTACGCATACTCGTGAGTGGTGCTTTTTGACACCCAGTAATCCCGAAACTGTGCAGCCCTCAGTCATTCGAATACTAGAATGAGAAGGAAGGACGATAAAAGCAAAAAGTTATGTCATACAATAGATCAAATAATGATTGATGGTTTTTTGTTAAAAGTAGGTTAAAGAACAACTGCGTTACTATGACGCAATGTTCCTGTCCCTGGTTCAAACTCTTGACACCCTACCCTCGTTAAACTTTCGCTATCTTAGCAGTCTCTGACCCCTGGTGTATAAAAGCACTTCTCCTCATCGTCGGGATCGCCACAACTCATGAAGCACTTCTTAACCTATTAGTTTCTTTTGTTCCTGCTCTGAAAAGCTTCGGCTCCCCAGAACCTTACCACCTTTTTCTGTATTACCTTTTAATATTCGGTGTAGTTATAAATATTTGTATATGACTAGGCGTCTTACACACAGACACACACACAGGGCATAAGACTAGTCTAAAATATTAACTGTTAGGGTCGCGATAGTTATTTGCTGCACAATTCGTTCGCTTTCGGAACTGTGCCTGCAAAGATCTCATCTGCTTTTTTTTGACTACAAAAAGCGCTCGCATCTGGAAAGCGCCCCCTGCTCCTCCTGCGACATTCGACACTTTTTTGTGCTGTTCGCTAAAACAACAATCTTTTTTGCGAATCTTCGTCCGAAAATCTGTCGAAATGTGCACATCTGGTTGCAAATTATATAGTTGGCGTTTGAAGCCGAAAACCAGTTTAATTCATAGCGTCTTCTGCTTCTCACATTGAAAGCATCTCTCAGTCCTCTTCAACTCTCGACTGATAACGCTTTTACCGCAGCATGATGACAGAGCTTTCAGTCTTCCGTGTGATGGCCACAACATGCTGCCTTGATTAGCTAAATAGGCAGCGGATTAGTAAAACTGCCAAGTTCCATGAGTTTAGTGCTTCGTTTGAGCACTAGAATTTCGCTGTGGTGGATGAATCTAATGCCTTCTTTCAAAATAACTAATTCTGAGCACTGGACAGTCACGGTGCTTAATCAGGCCTTTTCTGCTATTGGTTTGGACGATGCGAGCTGCTTGATATTATCATCGATCAGAACTGCTCCTAAAGTCTGCTTTCCTCTTCTCGACGTTTCCGACTTTTTTTTCAGTGTGAATTAGTGTTCTGGGGCAGGTGGTCATTGTCCCGCTTTTTAGCGAAATTATGTCCGACCAGGTGCAGTTTTATGTGTTTTTTGTTGTAGCAGCAAGAAACTTACTGAAAAGACACAGTAAGTTTTATTAAAATGTGCTGCTCTTGATCCTTCACTGGACTGAGCGTTCTGCCTGGTGCTAGTCGTTTTTATGTCATTTTGTTACATTGGTCCAGTGGTTATGATCTGGGTAGCCAACCTCTGACCGCTTGAGTGTCTCAGTGCTGGGTACCCTAAGCAGTCTGCTTTTCACAGCATTTCGCCATCGTCACAATTCGTTTAAAACCTGAGCACAGTGTTTTTTTTTTTTTTTTTTTAAATTCCGATAATTAAGACCAGTTGTTTTTGCATTGTCTCATTAATGCAACTAGCAGTTTTCTTATTTCCCTTTATTTTGAACTTCTTTCATCCATATAGTTACACTGGAGCATTCAAGCGAACTTTTCCATTGCATTGATAGCGGTGTTCTTTTAATACATTACCGGCCAGTAATCCGTTTTGTCCAGTTATCTCACATGCTTGCTATATGACCATTCCAAATCTTCTTCTTGGTATACTTTGTCTTGATAATCATTTTTGACTTTTTTCTGCATGGCTCAAGGTCCAGGCCACGCAAGAAAGTAGAATCCGTGTTACACCGGCGGACTTCAGAAAAGTAAGTGCCACTCCTGAGAAAGGAAGCGAACCGTATCGATGAATTCAGAAGTGGCTAGCAAATACATAAAGTAGGAGGTGATAGCATGTAGCCCAATACCGAAGAGCCCGGAGTGTGAAGGCATCCAAGCAAAATCACTAAGATAGAACACCCATAGTAACTATATAGACGGTCTTGATCTAAAGCTTTCATTATTATCATTACAGTATTTAGTTTTTCAAAGCTGCAGTTAAGATTGCTTGGAGTGACTTATCACTGTCAGATTTTTCAAAGCATTGCATGTCCCTCCCAAAGTTTCCAAGCGGAGATTCTCTAAGTCCAACAAGAGGGAGCGCATTTCAAATATGGCGCATTTTTTACTTTTTGTTTAAGACGTGACGTGTGAAGACTTAGCAACGCAATGGTACGTCCAGCTTACTTTTCTCAACTGCGAAATTGGTTCTCGAGCTTAACTGACCACATGAACGATTTTGGTGCGTTGAGGGTAAAAGAGGCAGCCGCTTGTAAGCCCGGTTCACGTGATACCACTGGTTTTAAAAAAACACCGTTGGCTTCGGTCTCACCAAATCGGAGCGGGAGATGATTGTGCGCCACCAACTGAGTGTATGTAAAGCGGGCTGATCGAGAGAGCGCGAACTCGGGTAAAACACACGCCATATAATCATAGTACGGGGCTATAGCCTCAGTTAGAATGCATCAATCGATCGGCGTAGTTACGAGTGCATTTTTAAGCTGTTTACTGGAAGCGAATGTAAACAGAGGGAGGATTGAAGTGAAAATATGTGGACCGTGGGCCACTTTTCCTTCTGTTCCTGGAAGACGAGCAGCTCAGTTGGGGTTTCAGGACTGCTGCAGTACTAGGTGCTGCTGGTTTTTCAAGTAACAGTTAATCGGTCTGAAGCAGCAGCCGCGCTGCTAGTTTGGCTGCAGTATAGCATGAGCCTCATCAAAAAGAACCTCGGTCGTATTGACATGCGTGGGAGCAACAGTCGCTGCTAATCACATCTTGTGCAAAGTAGACTGCATAAACAAGAGCAGGGCAATTCGCTCCATCCCATATCTGCCTTTAGCCTACGAAAGGCTGTTACTTAAATACAAGTTTAGACGGATAGCACTAATTCTTGGATTTTTGTGGTTCATTGACTGCACATTGAGAACTGTTTCAGTATTCAAAATTCCGCTGCTCTTCGAAATTCCCTTATAACTCATTTAACCTGGAAAAAAGAAAGAGAAGGCAGCGGCTGGAAATGACTCTCGTCTGAAAGCTTCGTATCCTGAGGTATAAGTCGTTATGTCCTGAAGTGTAATTGAGTGCCGCCTTAGTAAAATCTTTTTTTCCGTCGATTAGAGCCAACTGTCGGGAACTGACGACTACGAATCAATTGTAGAGCTTCCAGGAATTAAGCCATTTACTGCCACTGTTTGCTTTTTCGAGCAGGTGCTGGAAACCCTGCACAGTAAAACCCAGACTGAAACGCACCAGGCTTGCCGATGTGATCACGCGTTTTTGCAATAAACTGGAAACAATCCGGTCGTTAACTGTGTGAGTGGCTGTTGCTTTAGAGTTAGCCTGTGTACTCACTGGCGCAAATTGTCGCAAATTTTGTGTAAAGGAAAATGAACAATTTTCGCGGAACAGTCGTTTATTGCAAATGACCAGGCTGTTTAATTTCCCCAGCGCAACTTCCACCTGTCCGCAAGTGAGAACCACGTGTAACTGGAGGCTGAATTTGAAATCTTTAATTTATACTGGAACAGAGAACACCTCTTTTGAAATTTCAGCTTTTTAGCTCTTCTGGTTCTCGAGTTAGCAGTCCTCTTGCCAAAACTTTCGCGTGCTCGCACGCGAGTTTGTGACGTGAATGAAGGTTGGTACTGCATTCCTAGACTGTCACTTGACTAGCGAACCCACTAGCAAAATTTCAGCGTCGAAGCTTGCTTGGTTGCCGAGTTTAAATACCCAGACAAACACATGCACACATGCACACACACACACACACACACACACACACGCACACAT